GAAAAAAAAATAGTTTTTCATTAAGAACCGACTAGTGAATTTTATTTATTGATCAGTTTTCATACAATTCAAAATTTATCAATGTAATACATCAAACTCAAAAATTTCACTTTCGTTAAAGTAAGTCCACTCGTCGAGAAATCAAAATCAAACACGATCAGGCCAAACTCTCTGCTATCTAGTAGTAGTCGCACCAGAATTTCTATATATGAGAATCAGGATGGAGGTGAGCCTCAAAAACTATTAGATAAAAAATACGCGATAAATAACACACAAATAACGATTTTCTTGCAAAAAAAGTATAATCAACGACGCATGCTGTCTCAAATCCATCCCGAGTTTTTGTTTTTTCTTAACAACTTTCTTTATCATATGTGAGTCCAGCAGATTGATTGACTTTAAAATTAATCATATATGGGAACATGTTATTTAAAATATGTATCAAGATAAGAAAATTGTTTTTTGTTTCTGACTATTTAGGTCAAGGAATAGATGACTTTCTGAAAGGGTACACATACTTATAGGTGACATGAGTGTCATGGTTATTTTTTCTCTTTTAAACAAGATTTAAGCATTAATGATGGGTAATTTTTTCTCATTATAGATAAAGAAAAAATATTCATTATTTCTATAATTTGAAATCGCTTTTTACCACTCGAAAATCACATGATACGAAATGTTTATGTTGCTGTATAAAAAAGAGTCTTTAAGTATTTAATGTCTTACCAGATTACCTACAAAATACTTGATGAAGTACTTATCTAGTACTTATACTTGTTAAATTACTTGATAAGTATCTTTTTAACTTGCAAAAAATTCCGAGTACTCTGGACATTACTTACCCAAATACTTGATTTCAAGTACATTCACTAGGGTTTCTATTTTCTTTTATGCTGTATTCATCCATTCAAAATCATTAAAAAACTATTAGCAAAATTCGACTGTACTATGTTTCTTTCTATTACTAGTTAAACAAGCATGTATGTTTAATTTTTCTTTTTATAAATACTAATTACAATTTTTTCTCAGCACATCTTCGGTCGGCCTTTTTTTTTACTAACATTTGTAGATGCTTTCTAACTTTGTAGATTTGTATGACGCAAAACAACTGTAATCCATATAACTTAGATTTCATGACATACAAGGAAAAAAGTTGAAGTGAGCTAAAAGTGCTGATTTTCTAGGACAATGTACATTAAATATGACCGTGGACTGTCTTAAAAACTCATTATAATACTTCATTTTGTGTAGAGAATTATTCTCTAATGTATCATTATGTGAAACAAATACATCATTTTTCTAGACTATCATTCGCTAACTAAAACATATTTTTAACAAAGTCATTAGGCACGACCAACAATATTGTCATTTTTACTACTAATACTATTTAAACGTTCCATCTTATATCGAGATAAAAAGCAAAGATATTAATCGAAAAATCCTCAAACGTTATTTCAATACTAACATTGTTTATTGTAGTATAATTGAATAAAGATAATAACAATCGTATGTAAACATCAATCATTGACTTTTTAGTTCAAAAAAAAAAAGGAAGAAACCCAAAGCTTTCGATAACGATCTGTAATCATTATCATCAGCTATATAAATTGATGTCAGATTATGAAATACAATAAACGTTACATTCATGCCATATATAAAGTACATAAAAAAATTATTTAGAACAGGTCTGAGTAATCATCGCTAACAATTTTGGTTTAAGCTTTAATCTTAAACTAGAACGACATCAAGAAATATAAATTTTCATTATATATATCATTCTGAAACTTAAACTATCAAAACATAAAATCTCGAAACTAGGATCGAACAAATGAACTTGATTTTTGCAGACGAACTGCAATTTTACATACCAATATAGTGATTTATAATAATATAATTTACTATACACTTTAACTTGAATGGAAGAAAATAACCTTTATCAGCGTAGTCATTGATGCGAATAAATTCACTGTAGGTATCAGTATGAAAGAGAAAAAGCAAATATTAAAGAGAAAAAAAAAATCAATTTCAAATTGTATTCTTTTTACAATTGTAGATTATTTTTAATAAAAATATTACCTAATTATAAGTTAAGTTATTAGAGTTAACTTTAGAGTAGACACATTTTTTCATTAATAATGAAAAATAATTTACTTCGCATAGTTATATACAATCCGGACATAAAAGAGTTACTTTTTCTCCCTAATCTTATATCAGTTTTATTAAGAATGAGATTGAAGAATTTTTTGATTTAATACTTTTATTTTTTATAATAAAAAAAAACAAAAACAAACGAATAAACAAAACATGAATAATATGTACAATAAACTTCGATAGTTGGTGTAATATGTTGTCAAATGGAATGCTCATTAGGCTGACAATATACAGGTTGTATTATTTACCTAACATAATGACAAGTTTTGTTTTGTGATTTATGATTGATAATTTGTACAGATTTAATATAAATAGTTAGTTACACAAACACATACATGCTACAAATGTATCGTCGACACATCATTCGAAATATCTCAAATAGCCACAATTCATGCTCTATATTAGATATCATAAGAGAAATTTAATATTATTAGAGAATGTGGTAAGATGAGTATCTTGTCATATAGAAACTACAAGAGTACTCTTTTCTTGCGGTTAGATTAGGTACATAAAATATATACATATGGACCCTTTCTTTTCTATGTACAATAAAAACTTCTTTTTTTTTTTTTTTTTTCTTACTCAAAAATATTTTCTTGTTGTAAATAGTTGCACTGTGGGTATTTAACGAGAAAAGTGGTTATTGTCATCGTTTAGTTCATGACATAAAGAATAAGAACGACGATGAAGAACGCATATTTCTAGGGTTTTATTGTCTTATATAAAAAAAAAGAAGAAGAGAAGGACAAACGACTATAATCTTTGCTATTATTATTAATATCTGTTATATCTTCTTTAAATTAATTGTATTTTCTCTTTTTACTGTTATTTTATTATTTTTTGTATTACTATTTGCTCGCTATTTGTCAATTATAAAAGAGTCTATCTCATTTTAAAGGTGCATCTCCAAATAATGCAAAATGACAGAATCTGTTATTTAGAAGGTGTTCTGCAATTGTTTGCGTGTGTGTGTGTAATTGGCATCAACCTATCTGTAGATATGATTATTACAATTGCTATGTAGCAACATGTTTACCGAGTTTTTCTTCTTTGTCTCTTGATATATTTTATATTTATATATAGCAAAGAAAAGAAATAAAAAAAATAACACACACACACACACACATATCAAATCAGAAGATACTGTCGTCAGATTCACAAAACATTCAGTTATAATTCTGGAAGATATTTGTTATACTTTTTGCAACATGCAACAAATAATAGGAAAAAAATGATCATATCATACTTTGAACAATGATTCTAACGTAGTCCAGACAAACAAACCACAAGAGACGAGATATTATTATATCAATCTAAATTGCGTATACATCGGAAAAAAGCAGTTATTAGTTTATGGTTTTCTTTTTTGTAGTTATGTTTTTCTATCACAAATCTCTTGCCAAAACAGTAACTGCAGTATGTTTGTCAAGTGGCAAATAAAATCGATATTTACAATAATTTTTTATGTTATTTCATCATTATACGCATTAACTGATAATGAAACAAACGATCTCGTAAGTGTAATAAGACTATAAAAATTTCTAAAGTATCAAGTCGAGAATTATTTTATCTGATAAGCTCCAGTTTCCACATTTCTTCGTCCTTTCACAAGAAAAATCAATGATCAAATAATTGTGACAGCAATTGATGTCTATAATAAATCGTACGTTATAGAGAAAATTTTATTAGAACGAGGATCAGAGCTGACCACTTTTGAACGTCGACGTTTCTCTAATGTGAAATAGTAAATTGCAATATCAGAAACAATTTCAATAATGTGTGTGTGTGATTCAAATTCAACTGCTTTTTTTTATACTTTAGACATTTTCTTCCAAATGTCCGACGTGTCGCCGTTTATTTTTACTCGATAGTAGTGGAACAGAGAAACAATCATTGAAACAACAACAAGGATTTGGTAGTAATGTTCATTCGCATAGGAAATTGTTAAAATCAAAATTATATACAGAACAAGAACGTCTAGAATTAAAACAATTAAAAAAAGAAGAGAAAAAAAATTCAAAAAGACTCTTCAAACTATACCAGCAAAAACGAAATCCAGCTCAAAATAAGCTTAATAATACAACACGATCAGCAAAACAACGGTTAGTAAAAGAGAAATCTATGAGATCTATTAGAGCAACGAATGATGTAAAAAACGATCGTTGTCATGCATCTTCGTATGTCGGTGATAAAAAAGTTTCAAAAACTAATAATTCTACAAAATCGTCAACAACGTCAAAACAGTCCAAAGAACATTGCTCTCCTCTTCTTAGCAAACGAAAAGATAAACGTGAGCAACAACAACATCAAGAAGAAGATAAAAGTTCTCGAAAGAAGAAATTATCAAAACAGAAGGTGGCAACAGTTTCAGCATCAGAACAAATCAAAGAGAAGAAACGAAATCAACAATTGAACAATCATAGTTCGTCTATTGAATTTCCATTCACTCAGTCTACCATACAAAAGAAAAAGGAGCAGGAAACAAAAATTTCACCAACAGTCCAATTACCAAAGGAAAAATTGGTAGTGGTTAATAAAGAGCAGCTAGCAACAGATAATGAACAGTCTACGTCAATTGAAGATGATTTGGAATTTTTCAATGGTAGTAGTAAAAATGTGAATGTTGTTGGTCGTGCCTATTACTTTGTTAAAAATATGTTCCAGTTAGCGGATGATAATGTAGAAAATGATAAAAAAGAAAGTGTTTTTGTTTCACATAATGATGCATTAGAAGATAATGAACGACAAGAATATAATGAAATACCACATCAAAAACGAAAAATATTATCCATAATCGATGATGATCTAGATGCAATGGTTTATAATGATTTTCCCGCTCATAACATTGATCTTAATTTCCATGAAAATAATGTAATAAATATGGATAAAGTCGTTAATAAACAATGCATGGATCAAAATCTGTGTGATCATCAACAACTATATGATGATCTTGTTGATTTATCAACTATACCAAAACGTCGTCTGTTAGCTACACAATCATCAAAAATATCAAAACATAAAAAGCAAAAACAAAATAAAACAGATACAATCAATATGGTGTCAGATGAGCCGCAAGTTGCAGTTAGTTAAATCAATTATTGCTATAAAATCAGCTTTTTTCTCAAATTGTCTTTTTTAGGGGCAATATCGACATAGAATTAGTCCATATATTGATGCCCAACAACAATCAATTGTCAAACAAAAGAATAAAAGAAATAAAAAGAAGAAATCAATCAGTCAGTTGACTGATCAAGTTTGTAAAGAAAAACTTTCAACACATGATGATATTCAAAATGGTGGCATATCTAGCCAATGGTGAGTTCAGTCAGTAACAAGGATACGTTAAAGCCGTTGTAATTAGTTTCATATAACGGATGTTTTCTTTCTCCATTAAGCCAACTGCCAATAGTAAAAACGGATGAAAAAGTTAATTCTGTCCTAATCACCGAAGGATTTGTACCTAAAACCACTATTATTGAACTTGATAATTTATTTATGAAACGTCAATTGTTAGCCAAACAACGTGTGATTCGAGAAGAACAGGAAGACGAAGAGACTGATGATGAGGAAGAAATTAATCAAGATGAAGAAGAGGAAGATAATAGTCTACAACAAAACACTAAAGAGCCATTAGAGCCACAAGATATTGTCAGATCATATGAAAATGGTCTTTATAAACCACGAGTTGGCTGGCAATTTCGTTATCGTATTAGTCGATATATTGATTCATTACGAGAAAATATACGAGAAGATCGAGAACGATTAAAACAAGGTTTGAAAAATATTGAACGTAAAACAACCGAGGAGTTTAGTGATAGAAAAAATATAAGAAAAACTAAAGTAAAGAGTATTGATGATAAAATATTAAAAGAAGAGACGAAAGAAGCGGTAACGATACTAAAAATAATTCAAATATTCTTTGAAAATAAATTATTGATTCATTCTATTTTAGACAGTCAAACCAAATGTAGGATTTCGTTATCGTTATCGAGTGTCAAAAATGTTAGAAGCGAAACGAAATGGTGATTACATTGATGATGCTGAAGAAAAACGAAAAACAAGACAAAAGAATAATTTAGAACATAATCAAGATGTATTAAAAAAGAAAGATGTTAACATTGAATCAAAAAATGATATGGATCAAAATTTGGAAAAACTAAAAAAAGAAGAGAAAGATGTGGGATGGAAATATAGATATCGTATTCGCCAAAAATTAACAGAACTTAAAAGAAAATATCCAGGTAAGAGAAGAAAATGTTTTTATGTTAATTTTAAAATAATCTACGTTTAGCAATACCTATTTCTAATGATGCTCCTGGTAGAGAACGATTGAAAAAAACAGTAGTAAAAAAGTCGAATAGTGACCAACAACCAAAAGATCAGGAAAATAAGAACGTCGGTTGGAACTATCGCTATCGTGTATCAAAAATGTTAGAAGAACAAAAACATGAGAAAACCGATGGAAAAACTTTAACAAAACCGAAACTAAAACTAAAAGCAAAAGTTGTTAATGAAAAGGAAGAATTAGTTCCTGATCTTTCGAACTTAACACCAGAACAAAAAGTTGTGGGATGGGCCTATAGATATCGTATACGACGAAAATTGGATGCAATTCGAAATGAAACATTAAGAACGATAGGGGGTAAACGATTGAAAAATAAGAAGTCTTCGAATGACACTATTACTGCAACAACGACACACGAAACAATTCAGAAAACAAAACAAAAACAAAGTCAAATCAAAAAATTTGTAAATACTGACGATAGAAAGGAGACTATGTTATTTTCAAAACCTTTTAATTATGTTATCTATGATCGACTACCAGCGTTTAGAAACTCTATTTGTCGTTTACTCATACGTTTACCATTTTGTGGTGATACAGACGATGAAACAAGTAGACAAAAAGACGATCCGAAACCACAAGTGCAAAAGAAAAAGTTGAAAACAAAGAAAGAACAACGTGCCAAACAATTTATTCGTACAAAAGCCTCAAAACTCGTATCCGATGATGATAATGACAAACCGATCGATGAAACATTGAAAAAATACATGAAAAATCGAACGACAACCACTTCGTCTAAAAAATCAACAAAAACTAGAGTTTCCAAACATCATATTGTTGATGATGATATTAGTATCACCCAACCAAAACGGAAAAAATCTTCTCATCGCCGCAGAGTAATAATTGATGAACGAGTGCAATATTATGATGGAGAAGAATCGCCGGTGAAAAAAGTCATTAGTATTGAAACAAACAAGAAAAATATGAAAAAAAAGTTTCATGTAATCGAAAAAGAAATAAAATCTGCACAACGTCAAAATGGAATGAGAACAGCAGTTGAAGCATTATCCGGTGTTGAAAGTACGAAGCATGCTAGTAGAAAAAGTAAAAAAAAGAATAAGATACCTATTGAATCTAATAATAATATTCTAGAAACATCTAAAACGACTTCTAAAAAGAATTTGACGAAAATCAAAACACCGATTCGTGATAATTTAAAATTATCTGATATTGTCGATAGACGAAAAGACGCTATTGTTGAAACTACGGTATATAATCCAACTGAGAAAATAAAAGACAGGGGTATAAACCAACCGATTATTGAAACAGTCACAGAAGAAGAAAAAAGTTTTTTAAAACATTCAAATGATGATGATCGTTCGTCCGAAAAATCACAAAAAGAAGTCCATGAAATAAATGACGATGTACAGGAAAATTTGAAGTTAAATCAACAGAAAATGCAAACAGATGACGACGATAAGGAATACCAGATAACAGATGATAGTGATGATAGAAGGTTAGTTCGAATATCATGATATCACATCCTGTTAACGTTTTATGTACTCACTTAATCTTCTTTATAGGCCTTAGACGAAAGTTCCGCTGATATCAGTAATAAAGAAGGCAATGAGACACAAATGAAAACAAATGAGAGATATTATTAAATAAAGCCCTGGACAGATTAGAAGACCCGGGGTCTTCTATTCTGTCCTATCATTCACACATTTTAGGAGGGTCTTCTATTGTGTCCCTTAGAGAAGTGTTATTTTTTCAGTGTCCTTAGCAGTTAATG